AGAAATATAAATGGGAAAAAAATTTGAGAAATTAAAGAAAAATTGAGATTTTACTAAAAAAAATACGTATGGCACTCGGTGACTGTCGCGGTAAAGCTATTGCATAGCATTTTTTATCAACTTATGCAATTAAACTTATACACAATCGTTGTCTTAGTGATCATGCATTGGTGCTGTTAGATTTGGACATAAGAATTTTATAAACAAGTAAAACAACAGGGATTACTAAGAAATATTAATTCCGAAGCTTTCGCAAGAGATCTGAAATTTATACCCTGGGACTCTATCTATAATCTAGAGAACGTAGACGAAATGGTTCAAACTTTCAACGCATATATGAGTCAATTATTTGATGCTCATGCACCTGTCCGTACGCTGACGGTAAGGGATAAACCAAAGCCATGGATTACAGATATGTTGCTATTCATGATGAGTTTACGTGACGATGCGTTAGAAAAAGCCCAGAAGGATAAAAAAGATTGTTCAAATAAATACTACCGAACCCTTAAAAATTTAGTCACAGCAACCCGTATGCGCTAGCGACAAGCTTACTTTAACCATTGTATAAACAACAACTTAAAAGATCCGAGGTCGCTGTGGCGTAATATAAAAAATGCTGCACAAATTAAAAATAGTCATTTAAATACAATTCCACACCATCTCAATGACCCGAATATTATTAATGTCTATTTTCTAGACTTGCCGCCATGTGACAAACCAGAACTCAAACAGGGTTATAAAGTATGTAACGAATGCTCACACGATACCCTATTCGACCTAAACCCGACAAATGAAATAGAAATCAGTAAGATTATCAATAAAATAAAAACAAAAGCCGCAGGGCATGGTAACTTAAATATTGAAATGCTCAAATTAACTTTACCTGTAACTCTCTCTCTATTATTACATTTATAGTAAACAAGTCGATCGAAACCAGTACATTCCCAACGCAATGGAAAAGAGCTCTAGTCATGCCCATTCCTAAAAAGAACACAGCAAGTGAACTAAAAGATCTGCCTCCTATCTCGATCCTCCCGGTGTTGTCTAAAGTCTTAGAAAATATTATACTTTGTCAAATGCTAAATTACTTAGAAACGAATAACCCCCTACCAAAGTTTCAATCAGGGTTCAGAAAAGGGCATGGCACGGAAACTGCCCTCTTAAATGTCACTGACGATCTAACAGAGGCCTCCGATATGGGATTGAGCAGTATTATGGTGCTGTTGGATTACACGCGGGCATTTGACTGTCTACAACCTGAAATCCTCTTAAATAAATTAGAGCACTATGGCTTTTCTAAAGACACATATAGATGGTTTCAGTCATTCCTATCCAACAGAGAACAAATTGTGGTAACAGATGGATGCAATGGTGGCAAGAAATTCTCCTCTCTACGGAAAATTGTAAGAGGAGTACCCCAAGGCTCCTTACTCAGTCCTATTTTGTTCTCTCTGTACACAGCAGACCTGCTTAAGCAAATAAAACACTGTAAATACCATTTATACGCAGACAACACCCAGCTGTATTATTCTTTTGGCCCCACGGATGTTAAAGAGGCAATAAACAGAATAAATGAGGATCTCCATAATATCCAAACCTGGTCCCAAAAAATTCTCTAGTATTAAACGCAACTAAATCACAAGTACTAGTTTTGGGCACAAAAAACCAAATAAAAACTATTTTAGACAGCGAGGATACGATTAAAATAGAAGATGAAACCTTGACACAAGTAAGATCCGCTCGTAATTTAGGGCTTATACTAGACGGAGAGCAGAAATTTGTAGAACACATCAATAACAAGATAAGAAGTTCGTACTTTAAACTTAAAACTTTATACAAAATAAGACCGTATATTAAAGAGGACCTACGCTTTCTCTTGTGTGACTCATTGGTGTTATCACAATTGTGCTACTGCAGCTCAGTCTTTGGCCCTAAATTGTCGGCTAATACCGAAAGAGCAATACAGAGAGTACAAAATGCATGTGTTCGATACTGTTGTAATGTACCAAGAAGACAATTTATAACCCCATACTTAAATAAAAAAGGCATACTCAATATGGGCGCCAGGAGAGAATCACACTATGTTTCGATAGTCCAAAAGGTAATTTTGAACAAAAAGCCAGAATACCTTTTCGAAAAACTCACCTGGATCAAATATATTTCCTGTCGAAGTATTCGTTCTCACACACAAATGCTCCTTCACACACCCGCACATAAAACAGCAAGATATAGGAGTTGTTTCAAATTAACTGCAGCGAGAATTTGGAATGACCTCCCTCCACCCATGAGAGAGAAAATATCAATAGATTGCTTCAAAGCCAAGTATAAATTGGCTCTGTTAAAAAGACAACTCGCTGCAGAGAATTTGAAACATCCCTATGTTAAGTTTTTACATTTACGGGACTTTTTTGTAAAAACTAATAAGGATACACACACACACACACACACACACACACACACACACAACACACACACATACGTACACACAAACACACACACACACATAACAGTTCAAAGAAAGGAAAATTTATTTTATATGTTCTATTTCCCGTGTTTTTATTTTGTCTTTAATGTTTTTTAATCCTTTTTTTTTTGTATTTGCGATTTTATCATATTTAATTACTTTGTACGTAGTTAAAAAGTAAAGTATAAGTCAGGTAAATGGGGAGCCTGCTACTTTGGACTCCCGCACAACACCTCAGGGAGAAGGGAGCGGCTGAAAAACAACTCTGTATGAGATCTGTATCTCGTTACAGACAAAGCTGAGCTGTCTCCTTTTGTCTCAAATAATTATAATGTTCTTTTGTTTTAACGTGAATGTAACTGTGTGTTTAGAGGCAATAAATTTATTATTATTATATATTTAGTAAACAAACTATAGGTAATAAATCTTTGTCTATTTACGGTATTCGTGATTCGAAAAATTGTTGAGACTCGATTGTTATTGCATTTCTAAACCATCTACATTCTTATTTAAGTTTATTCAGAACCGTCACTTTTGTCCGGTTTTCATTATTATTAGTACTTGTTGTCGGGAAGTGCTGCTGCCCATCTCCAGTTTCAGTTTCTCTCGGGATGGTATGGGGCAGTATGGATTCTACTACGCCACCGCTACACTGACTTTTTCTCTTAAATAAAAAAATTAATTGTTTTAGTCAACTCCAGAACCGCACGAGGCTAGAGATGTGATTCAATTCACACCAATTTGTCATATAGATATCAGACCGGTAGGGTGTGATATTGAAAATAATTGTAAGGAAGAAATTTTTAGCATTGGATCTGTTAAAGTTGAAAAAGAGAATTTCGAAAACGAGAATTCCAAATTTGAAGTAAATGGGTATCATGATAAAGGTAAGATATACACATTTTGTGATATTATTAAATTAAGGTACAATTTACCTAATGGCAAATGGTTATCTACTCATGGGGAAAGAAAATAATAAATTAAATGATTATTTAAAAGACTAGATGACTCGGTGAACTTATCACCAACATTCATTTGTGAAAAGTACTTAAAAGTATGTTAAATGCAACACAGTTATACCACTTAATCAATTTAAAGGTTTCTGATGTACTATATTTTTTGTCTTTTTTTGCGCTGCGTAAATATATAAAGATGATGCCTGATGATGATGGATATATATATAGGGTGAATAACCCAAACACTAGCACTGCACCAAATTATCAGCACTCCGAATAAATTGTCAAATTCTAAGGTTTTCACTTACGAATTTGGGTTACCACATTAATAAATGAATAAATGTATATTTTTGGAATCCTACTATTGGCAACACCATACTTTGAGACTTCAAAATGGCGGAAATTGTGTGAATAAATATTTGTGTCCTGCAGTTTCTTCTGTTTTTGCCTGTTTCTTGTGATCGCCGGTAAGTTCACGTCTTTACATTTTATGATATATCAGATCTTTTACATTTTTCACATTGAAACTACCGATTTCTCTAATATTTGAGATAGTTTATGAGGATAATTTAATGAGTGGAATTTGAGGTTATGGTGATAAATTGGTAAAATACGTGGTGCTGATAAATGGATCGAATATTTTGTAAATTCCAAATTATCAGCACTGGTGCTGATAAATGGAAAAAAGTATATAAATACTAATTTCATACTTTTTAATGTAAACTGTGTTTATTTTATGCATAAAATTCATTTTATTTGTAAAAGTAGTTTATACTATCAAAATCCAAATCTTAGCATGGTGCTGAAACTATACTTACCATTTTTCAGCATGGTGCTGATAATTACACAATTTTCGAAAATGACGTTAAAATGTAATAGCTGTAATATAGTTATTAGCGAGTTATTAGCATACGTGCAAAACAAGCTGTCTGTAGCAGATGAGGACAGCATTGTTAAAATATGTGCTTCTACGTTCTCATCGGAACAAATTGAGGATGCAAAAAAACTTGCTCGTGAATTCCCTACCGGCGGATCAGCGCAAAACTACGAGGAAGGGTAAAGGCAAAGAAAATCGCACTTTGAACGATATAATCGGCCTTTTTAAGGTCACCGACCCTGACGTTTTGCCAATTTTCGTGGCGAGAGATTTAGATAAATTGCCTCCGATTACATTTGATCACCTGGACGTATCTAAACTACTGAAGGATCTGGCTGTTGTGCAGGCTGACATTAAAAATATCAAGTCTTCATACGTAACTGTCGACCAGCTGGAAGAGGTTAAAAGGGAGTGCCAACATTTTAAACATACGTCGCCGCCCTTTTCGGCGGTAAAGGTGAACATGCGAAGAGGAGCATATCGAGACAGTGGTCCGATTGGATTGTCGCAATTCGATGATACGATTATTACGAATCACAGTCAACATCTTAATGAGGAACCGTCATCTCCGAAAGATTATAATCTAAATTACAGATGTATAAATTTTATGGAGGGTAATTATAAATCTCAAGGAACGGTCGGCAGCGGTGTCTCAGCTGTTGAAGGAGCGCGCGTCACGGAACAAGTAATCGGTGCGGTAGCGGGTGCGGGCCAGCCTAGTATTGCATCATCGCCGACGCCCGCGCCGACCGAGCCACGAGCCAGCCCGCCAGCCAGCTCGGGGGCAGCGTCGAAACAGGCAGCGGGTGCAATTGCGCGGTCTTTCGCCGAGGTAGCGAGCGCGGAGGGGAAGTGGAGAGTGGTGAGACGAGGCCAGAAACAAAGGAGATACCGTTATACGGGAGCCGCGGGTGTGTCCAACGAAGAAAGTAATTTTAAAGCGGCAGATCGTAAAGTGCCCATGTTTATAACGATGGTTCATCGGGACACGACGGAAAACGATATTGTGCAATACGTTTACAATAAAACGAGAGAAAAGATAACACTCGAAAAGATTTCCTTTAGTAAAGAAAACAAGGACTACAACGCTTACAAATTTTTTGTATCAGAGCGGAAAATAGATATTTTCTTAGATAAAACGCTTTGGCCCCAAGGTGTGATCTTTAGGCGCTTCGTCAACTTCAAGCGAAACCACAGCTCTGGAACGAACGGTACAGTAAATACCGTGAACGGCCCGACCCCAAATGGTAATGGATAAAATCCTCTCGTGTACTTTTGTCAGTTTCAATTGTAAAAGTATAAAACGATCAGCTGAGCATGTGAGGCAGTTGTGTCAGTCATCGGATGTTATTGCGCTTCAAGAAACGTGGTTATTTCCACACGATATTCAGTTTCTTAGCGAGATTGATGACCGTTTCGGCAGTACGGGCACCTCTGCGATAGACACGGCGGCGGGGATGGTCTGCGGTCGACCTTACGGAGGTGTAGCGTTATTGTGGAATAAAAGTGTCTTTCAAAATGTGTCAGTAATAAACTGTGATAATCCGCGTATATGTGCGATAAAAATAGTGCTGGGTGATAGGTCCATCCTAGTGTTTAGCGTATATATGCCGACGGATACAGTGGTAAATCTCACGGAGTTTACGGACTGCCTCAGCTCGGTGAGTGCTATTATTGATAATAGTAATATAGAATGTGTCTATATACTCGGAGACTTTAATGCGCATCCAAACGAACGCTTTTATGCAGAGTTGACGTGTTTCTGTGACGAACAAAACTGGTCATGTACAGATGTACAGTTTTTAGGAGTGAGCGCGGACACATATACATTTGTTAGTGAAGCCCACGGGTCGAAAAGGTGGCTAGATCACTGTATAACCACGAAATCTGCGGCATCGTCTATTTTGAATGTTCATGTAAAGTACGATGTGTTGTGGTCTGACCATTACCCTTTAATAATTAAATGTAATTTAGATATTGTTAAACCGAAGTATACGAGTACACATAAAGTTGTAAACGAGATTCTGTGGGGAAATAGAAAACCGGAAGATATTTTATTATATACGAAATTATGTAATGAAAAGTTGAGATCAATCGATTTCCCCGAAGAGTTTCGTTCTTGTAGTGATTTTACTTGCGAGTCTACCGATCACAATTTACTTATCGATAAATTATATGGCGAAATTATAGATATTTTGACGGTGGCCGCAACGGAATCCAACACTGTAAGATTGCGTGGAGGGAGGCGGCCGGTGGTTGGGTGGAACAGATATGTGCGCGATGCTCACGGGGAGGCCAGATCTAAATTTTTAATGTGGGTTTGGTGGGGTAAACCGGATAGTGGAGAAGTTTATGAGGAAATGCGGCGTAGTCGCAATTTATTTAAGTCACGCTTACGCTGGTGTCAAAACCACAGCGAGCAAATTAAAATGGACATTGCGGCTACGCAGCATTCGAACAATGACTTTAAGAACTTTTGGAAATCTACCAATAAATTAAATGGTAGACCTGGCTTACCAGTGAGCGTTGAGGGTATTAATGACCATAGTCTCATAGCGGACATGTTCAGGGACCATTTTACGGTGACGTCACCGTTGCGACCATCACAGCTTGGAAGAGATGAATGTACGGGTGGTCAGGAGATTGGAATCCGATTTACAGCAATGGATGTCAATAATGCTATAGCCTCTATGTCCCGTGGCAAGTCTCCTGGCCATGACGGTCTGAGTATTGAACACCTAAGGTATGCGGGTCCTCATCTGCCCGGAGTGCTTGCCATGTTTTATAACTTGTGCATGGCACACTCGTACTTGCCTTCAGCGCTGATGAAAACTGTGGTGGTGCCAATTGTGAAGAACAGAACGGGGGATGTGTCTGATAAATCCAATTACAGGCCTATCTCACTAGCCACGGTTGTTGCGAAGGTTCTTGACAGTTTGCTTAGCGTCCACCTTGATAAATATATAACCTTACATGATAATCAGTTTGGTTTCAGGCCAGGTTTGTCAACTGAGTCGGCCATATTATGTCTGAAGCAGACTGTTAGGTACTATTCGGTTAGGCGTACACCTGTATATGCCTGTTTTCTCGACCTTAGTAAGGCTTTTGACCTGGTAAATTATGATATCCTATGGCAGAAATTGAAAAATACTGGACTGCCTGAAGAAGCAACCAGAATCTTCAAATATTGGTACCGTAACCAGGTCAATGTTGTGCGATGGTCCGAATCTTATTCGCAGCCATATAGGTTGGAGTGCGGAGTTAGACAGGGAGGCCTAACCTCCCCTAAGCTCTTCAACCTGTATGTCAATGCCCTCATAGAGGAGCTCAGTAGCACACATGTCGGTTGTCACATTGACGGAGTATGTCTTAGCAACATCAGTTACGCTGACGACATGGTGTTGCTGAGTGCTTCTGTTTGTGGCTTAGCGAAACTGTTGAGCATATGTGAAAACTATGCTCACAGTCACGGCTTAATTTATAATGTGAAAAAAAGCGAATGTATGGTCTTTCGGGCCAAGGGAAAAGCATGGTCCCAGTGGCGTCCTGAGGGCATTTGCTGACGGGCTGGATTGTCAGTACCTGAACCACTGCCGTATGGTGCACGTGCTGACAAATCAGGGCTGTCTTAGATATAAGATATAGATTAAGGTAGTCTTAAGTTTACTAACATTAGACTAGTGTTTTTCTTATATATGTTACTAACATATATGATCTTTAAGGTCGAAATAAATGATTTTTATTTTTTTTTTTTTTAATTGGATCAGGAGCATGCTGATAAATTGGTTTTCATAGAATTTCATCATCTCTTTTCTTTTTTTCAGAATCATTTATCCACTAACGATGAAGCCAAAGGAAGAAAATAAACCAAATAAACGAAAAATGTACACAAAGGAAAATCTACTAAAAGCTTTGGATGCAGTTAAAAAAAGGTATGTCCAAAAAACTGGCCGGAAAACTTACAATGTGCCAAGAGGGACTATCCAGTCGCGATTAAGAAAGCCGTGCAAGGATCTACCAGGTCCTAGGCCAATACTGTCGATAGAAGAAGAAAGAGTTTTGGTACAGTGGGTTGTAGATTGCTGTCGGAAAGGATTTCCAAAAAGAAAATCTGATTTACAATTAAGTGTAGCAAACTTCTTAAAGAAGTCAAGAAGAGAAAACCCCTTTAAAGATGACATACCTGGGAAAAATGGTATGACCTTTTTATGTGCCGTCATCCAGAACTCAGCGAACGCACTGTCGAAGCTGTCACATCAGTCAGTGCTAATATGTCAGAAAAAGACATCAAAGGTTGGTTCCACAAAATTGAGCTTTATCTTAAGGAAAACAACTATTTTGACATCTTACAGGACCCAGCTCGTGTTTTTAATGGAGACGAATCTAACTTTCAGTTATGTCCCAAAAATGGTAAATTTATTTCGTTACGAGGAGAAGGAGACGTGTATGAAGTGGATCACGCTACAGCTAAAACAGCCCTTACTGTACTGTTTACATTTTACGCCAACGGAGATGTAACACCTCCATTAGTTGTGTTTCCCAACAAGAGGCTTCCCAAGGATATAACATCATCAGTTCCAGATGAGTGGGGTATTGGTCTGAGCAATACTGGCTGGATGAAGTCTGAACTTTTCTATGATTATATCAAAAATGTGTTTCTTCCTTACCTCTACAAAAGAAAGGTAACATTCCCCGTCATACTATTTGTAGATGGACACAAAACACATCTCAGTCTTGAAGTAAGTGAATTGTGCAGCAAATTGCAGATTGTTTTGATAGCACTTTATCCCAACGCCACACGGATTCTTCAGCCAGCTGACGTGTCAGCATTTAGACCTCTCAAAACTGCATGGAAGGAAAGTGTCCTGAAATGGAGGAGAGATCATCCTTTGGAGACTCTCACAAAGAACAATTTCGTACCTGTTCTCAAGAAGGCTTTAGAGGTTGGTGTCAAAGATACGACAATTATAAATGGATTCAGGACTACCGGCATATGTCCCTGGAACTCTGATGCCATTAACTACAATAAATGTCTGGGTAAAGGAAGTAAACACGATGAAGAACCAAAAGAAGACAATTTAAAACTACAAGACAATTTAAATAAAGAAAAAATCATGACACGCGAAACCTTAGATAACATTGTAGGGCAAAAAAATTACATTTCTGCAAAGAACACCGCTTGAAAATCTGACAGAAACAGAAAGGATTTTGAAGAAAATTTGTTATTTTTTGAAAATCAAGAAACTGATACGTCCACAACCAAAGAACTCACATCGAAATTGAAAATTTCGAAGCAGTTGGATTTCAGGACATTAATAAATTACCAGTAATATTAGCAGAAAATTTTGTAGATGATATGCAAGCTATGACAACTTCTATAACGAACTACTATAATGAACAATGTTATAACAAAACTGAAGATTGTCTTAGTAGTGCGCAATTGGTATGTCTTGATAGTCAACAATATTTACTAACACCAGTCAAATTACAAGACGTTTTGATTGCTGAAAAACACCTGAACGAAAAGGTGTTAAAAATGTAGAGAGATCATCATTCGTGCTTACTTCAGCGGAATGGCAGAAGACTGAAAACGATAAATTAAAAGCTAAAAAACTTAAAGAAGAAAAACAAGAGACTCGCAAGAAGAACAGATTACTTAAACAAGATGAAAAAAACAAAACAAAAGAAACCACCAGAAACAAGATTAACAAGAAAGCAAAAGGGACAATATATACCAAATAACCAGAGACAGAAGCTAATAATATACAGGAGACAAAAGAAAATAAATCACAAGAGACTTTCATTAATCTGCACCAGTCATTTTAACACGAAGTTATCATTCATAACACGAATATACCATCCTCACCTGAAAATTAACACCCGTTTAACATTAAGAAAAGAAAAGCCGAAGAGCAGAGTATGTATCCATCAAATAAAAAAATCCAGATTCTTTCCGACATTAAACTTAATTTACCACCCAGAACCACGCAAGTTGGTCAAAGAGATAACAAACCAATAGACCCGTTGGAAAAAATAATAAACAATAAAAGAAAGAAGACTTACTCTTTACAAGAACTAGAGAAGATCTTTCAAGAGGATTAGAAGATGTGATAGCAAGAGCCTATCTTTTTTATTTTTTTTAGCTACTTACTGGTACACTTTTTATGTGCAATTTTATGTTTTTTAATAGTTGTTGATACCTACATAGTTTATAGTATTGGTCGGCTACCATATTATATTTAAGTAAAACACTTTCTAGCGAGATTTTCGTAAGTCTGAACAAATCATTTAAATTCCTACCTAAGATAACTTTATTAATGCTAAACTTTGTCAATTTTATAAAAGTATTATCAGGTTATAAGTGATTGTTATGTATTACAGGGTAGCTACCTACTAATACTACCTATAAATAAATAAATAAAAAACAGATTTTAAGACTGGAAATATTTCTAACAGTGATAGTTATGTGCTGATAATTAGCTCGCTCTATGCTGTTAATTGGGGGCGATGGTGCCAGTAAATGGTGAGAGTCCCATTTTTATTCTTACTTGTCTAAAAAACCTTGGATAGAGGTCAACCATGTTTTTCTTTTAATATCGTCTTCCTTATTAAATATTAGAACTATAAAATTTGCTTAACAGGTAAAGAACTATTTTTCACAGTAATAAATAGGCTTAAATTAGCACGAACTCTTAAAGTGCTGATAATTGGGTACTTCACTATATATATATATATATATATATATATATATATATATATATATATATATATATAGATATCTTTACGGTTAATGTTGATCAGACGCGACTTCACGCGAGCACTTTGTTGATCCGAAAAGGCATGTTGATCCGGCGCCTTTTGTTGATCCAATATGCATCTCTGGTAACTAATGTGGCTCCGACCAGATCAACATCTGCACTCACGAGACTGTTTGCTAGCGTTTGCCGAAGTTGATCCGATATACAAATCCATCTTGCGATGGTTACGGAAAATGTTGATCCAATTTAAATGAGCCAGTCAGAGCACAGCAAACGATAAGATAAACGGTCGTATTGGCTGAAAGCAGCCGCGACGTTGCCGTTTCGTATCTTTGGCGGTACAAGCTACAGATTTAATGCGTGTTCAATACAATAATGCATTCTGAGTGCTGTTGGGTCTGCCTCGTTTTTGTAATGCGCCGTGTATGTTTGCGGATGCGCGTGTGGATTGTTTCTACACCACCATGCGTAAACGATGCACATCTCTGGTGCGCAGGGTGCGGGCCAGTTCCAATGGTACTCTGAGGGCATTTTCTGATAGGTTTGAGGTCAGTACCTGAACTATTGTCATATGGTGCACGTGCTGACTAATCGGGCCTGTCTTAGATATAGTTTTAAAATTAAATAAATAGTTTTAAGTTTTACTCAAATTAGTTTTAAGATTTGTATTATTACTAACATCTATGATCCTTGTGGTCGAAATAAACGACTTTTTTAACGAATAACTCGACAACGCCCCTTCTTGTAGCGGAAGTGGCGGCAACGGCGACATAAGGTATTCGTGTGTGTATGTGTGTGTGCGCGCGCGCGCGGGTGTGAGCGTGTGCTTGCATGCGCGGGTGTGAGCGTGTGCTTGCGCACGTGGGTGTGTGAGTTTGTGTGTGCGCGTGCGTGTGGGTGTATGTGCGTTCATGTGTCTTCGTGTGAACGCATGTGCGTGCGTGTGTGTGTGAGTTTATGTGTGCGTGCGTGCACTGTTGTGTATTTTTTTGAGTACGTGTGTGTGCGGCAGTGTTCGTGTGTTTGTGCGGTTGTCTGCATGTGTTTGCGCGCGCGCGTATGTGTGTGAATGTGTGTGTGTGTGTGTGTGTGTGTGTGTGTGTGTGTGTGTGTGTGTGCGTGCGTGTGCATGTGTGCGTATGTGTACGTGTGTGTGTGCGTGTGCGCGTGGGTGCAAGTGTGCGTGTGTGAATGTGTGCGTCTGTGCAATATTGTGTCTATGTGTGTGTGTGCGTGTGTGTGCGGCAATGTGCGTGTGTGTATGAGTTTGTGCGTGTGCGCATGTGTGCATGTTTGCGCGCACTTACGTGTTTGTGTGTGTGTGTGTGTGTTTACCATAAACCAGTTAACATGTTGTCTACATCTTCATAATCAAGATTACTTACCTCCGGTCTTCATGGAGTGACCTCAAAATGTAATTCGGGATTACTACTGGAACTCTTGGACTAGTAGAAGTGGGTGTGCCGAGTTTAATCTCGTTTTGTTAGTTATGATAAGTCCTTACCTCCGGACTTGCTGAAGTGACCTGAAGGTGTACTTCGGTAACTAATACTGTAACACCTGAACTAGTAGAACTAGGTATGCCGAGTTTGGGCTTGTTTTGTTAGTTATGATGAAACCGTCACAAAACAAAAGTTCTTTTCACTTTGTCTCTAGTACCAATAGGTAAAGTAAAAGTTCTTTATGTTAGTCTCACTTGCCCTCACGCGGTACCCACTTTACTGCACTCCAGTGCACCCACCACCACTTCTGCCACCTATGCCTCCACATCTTCCACCGCACCCCTCTCTAAGCCAACCTTGATGCATGCATAAAACTTCTCATAATAGATTGTCAGAGACACTTGACAGACTATTCATCTGTATCTATTTCGGAATCATGTTATGATGATGAAGACGTAGAAGAGTCCGTCACATCGATTATAACCTAAAATATCTGCAGTCTTCATATCAGTTTTGGATGGATATACGTCTCAAGACCACGTTTTTTTACATATTTATAGATGTTTACAATCATTATTTTTTAGGTTTTCTTCTTTCGTGAAGACGTAATATCTTTACGAGATTTTCATGTCGATGGACCCGATTTCATACTAGTGATAATATACGAAACGTCACAAAATAATAACAAAAACTTTAATACAAAACGTAATAATACAACTAACAAAACAAACTTAATAAAAATTAAAACAACTACTATAACCGAAAATTTTAATCCCAAAGCAAATGAGGAATGAGTTCTGCTCTATCGCTTTCTTAAATACGCACGGCGTGAGACCTATCGCAAATCGCGTCGAAACAGGTTTATTATCTCTGAATGACCGCTTCCTTCACCCTACCCCGTACCATGAGACACGCTTAGCGCATAACGATACGTAATCTGTAAAGAAATGTATGGAAGCAATAACTGCCGTTTTGTTTCGATGCTAACATAATACTTGAGGCCAATGTACTTTTTTCCGCCTGCCCTAGAAACGTACTATATATATCTGCTAATCACGAGATCCTGAGTTGGGCAAAAAATTAAAATCACACAATAAAATAAAATTAAAAAAACAATTAATATTTGTAGCAATAGGAGTTAAAAGACTGTGAGAGGATGTAGATTTTCTCGATTTTTATAAATGCCTGTAATTATTAAAATACATAGCAAAGATTTTTTAAAATTTTTCTGTTAACTATTATGACTTAACCTATCATCCGACTCCGACTTGACGTCGATTTCTGGCACAACCAGTATATATACACATAGAAAATTCACAATTTTATGGATGCTGGTGGAGAACGAACCTGGGCGGCTAGCGTACTGTGAAATTTTATGGCAAACTACTGGCCCCTGAGCTACCAGGGCTTGCTTTGAGTCTTTGTTAAGCCTGCAAATAATTCCTCTTTCTTAATCGTCCCGTAAACTTCCCCGCAAAGTCGCCTCTTAAGAAACCCACGGGATAAAATGTGATGACGAATTTTCTTATGCCGCACTTACACGCCAACTTCGACTGTACTGTGTGTGTAACACTATTTCTGTATGGAATATGAAACGGCGATAATAAGAATAGATTATTCTAATACTACTACCTAGACTATATTCTTAATATCAACAAAAATACTGGTCAAAATGTATATATGTATAACACTCTTTCTGTGTGGGATTCGAATCAGCGATTATTAGATTAATGTAATTATAACACGGTCAGAAGAACGTTATAATTATTATTCGAATTTAGATTCTTTACCATTCTTTCCCTCTAAAATGAATATGAGAGACATTATCCAGAGTAATTGGCTAAAATACTTCATATCTTGTAATGCCAAATAAGTGTAATTATGAAAAATGTTATAATTTCTCTATATATCCCTGGTAAGGCATAAATTCCGACCGCTGTAAACCGTCTAAGGTATCTTTCAATAAAGATACAATGTCTTACAATAAATAAAATGTTTGATTCATTTGTATTTCAGAACAACCCTGCATACAAACAAATAATTTTTCAAAGCCGTGTGAGAAAAAGATTAAATCAAATTCTACTGACTGTAACATAAATGATGTTCGTAAAGGAAATCTCGATTTAGAAAGTCCTACTATTAAATCAAAGCCTAAATTAAAAAGAACTGCTCAACCAGTTAATAAAAAAGGGAAGCATCCTGCAAAAATTATAAAAAAGAAAAATTTTAAACAGACTGTAAATATACTTACGGAAAACACTTCTGAGGCATCAACAAAATACATTTTTGAATGTGATGATTTTCGAAAAAAGTTTTTAACAAAAGATATTCTGGCCGACCAC